TGCCTAACAGCTCAGCATTTCTCATGTAGCACTTTGGTCCCATGGACATGTTTAATTTAATCAATGCTATTACTACTGCAGAAGGTTCAGTACCATCCAGAAGAGCCCAACTTGGAAGGCTAATTGCTTATGGGGTATTATAGAGTCCTGATGAAGAAGCAACTATAGAACCACTCGGACTTAGGCAGGTGGAAATTCAATCCCTTTCTGGATGGCCTGTGGAAACATGGGACATATCAACATAGGGATAAAGATTTGTGGCTCTACAGGACCAAGAAAAAAACAAGACATCCAATTGGGTGCTTTTAATTCATTTTGCAAGAACACTTTAGATTTATTAGTCCTAGGGGTATTAATGGCTACAGAGGAAGATGACACAGTTGGAGAACTGTGGCAATGTTCCCAGTGCTCTTACTATTATCCAAGCTGATTCTCTTTTACATTTTTTAGTAAGCATATTAGAGATTATTTATTACTAATACTTTTAAAAGAAACTGTGTAAAGCAATGAGATTATAGACATAGTACCCTCTGGGAGATGACAGCTTGACAGGCAGATACACAATAATCATATGATGTACTAAATGCTATTAGTACAAGCTAGTACAGGATAGGGGTATTACAGAATCATGGTACGTGTATTTTAACACAGTCTGAAGCAAGCGAAGGATGGGAAAAGGCAAGGCTTCTTGAAAGTAAAAGTTTTCCTAAATTTTAAGAAATTTTTCTTTTATAGCTAAGACCTAATTCACTAGAATGTAATGTACTTGAAATATTTTTATTGTACTAGTTAAATGGCTTTCTACACTAAAAAAAACCACCTGGTCTCTGCTTACTGCCTATTTATAAACATATGCCAGAATTGGGATGAATAATTTAAAAAATTTCTTTGAATCTGCCCATCCCAGTTGATTGAGTTTAATCCTTGATCTAGTTCAGATCATACAATGGCTAGCCAGCTCTCTCTCCTTTCTTTTCTCTACAATTATCTCAACCACTGACCCTTCATTCCAGATACTAATTATGATGCTTTAAATACCACTACCTTTTTACAAAACATAGAAAAATCTGAAACCTAATAGACTATGAATACCAATACAAAAATCTTCAAATAGAATAAAATTCTAATTTTACCTTTTTGTGCATCATTTTCTTTGAAGTCCTTCTTGGACTCCCTTAGATACAGCAAGTCACTATGAAATTCACAACTAAAGAGCCTGCACATAGCTCATATTATATATAAGCTCTGTCTGTTTTGTTTACTGTACTTTGAGTATTTTCAGGGTTAAGATTGTGTCTTGTTCAACTTTATATCCCAAGTTCATAGCACTATTGCTAATTCATATTAAATTTTCAGTAAGTGTTTACTAAATGAGTAAACATGAAAGAATATATACTTAAGATATTTTTTGGTTGCATCCAGAAAATACTTAGCTTTGTTTACTGTTAGCTATCTCTTTTTACCTCTTTTATTTACAGATATATAGCCTACCATGTTTCTATCAAGATCACTAATCTAATGGTCAGTTAAATCATGATCCTGAAGCCAGGCAGAGTGGTGCACATTTGTGATCTCAGTGCTTGGGAGGCTGAGGCAGGAGGATCACAGTGAGTTTGAGGCCATACTGGGCTACATAGTGAGTTCACTGCCCATCCCCCACCCCCACCAAATCTTGACATCCCACTCGACATGGCTGTTAAGAAGACTACAGAATTTTCTAGGAAAGAAAGCCCATTTAAACACATAATACTGTATTTATAAGCCCAACATTCTTACTTGGAATTTGATATATATATTATTGGCTAAATATGGAACTTCTTTCTTGTAGAATTTTTTTCTTGCTTTTACTTTTTTTATTAGTATACATTTGCAGCACATAATTATGTTCCTTGTGGGGAGTTGGTGGATGTACAAAACACACCTTAAATCTTTCTTAACCCTTTCCCTTCTCTCTCAATTCCCATTAACATTTTTTCTCTTAGAACATTTTGAAGTGCCTTATTCAATAAGACAAAATAAATCCAGTTAGTGGGAAGACAGACACTAATCATTATTGCTAAAGTTTGATGTCTTAGTTCATATTTGAAATGTTCCATGATCAATCTAGAAATTTTATATAGACATGGATCTAAGCATTCAGTTTAGAAAGAAAGCTTTGAGAAGCATTTTGAAGTGGAAAATCCAAATGATTGAATCACAGGCGCTATGACAGTCTATAGAAATTTCCTTTTTTTGTTTTAGTTACAGAAATTAGTATACTTAGTTTATTATAACCAAGTGACCCTCTAATTATATTTTGTTCAGCAAGTTTCTTTCCTGTCTTGGACATCAATCTTCAGAGATATAAGATCAAGTGAGAGACCTAGAAAGCAACTAAAGTTGCACCAAGGCTAAACAGCTCAGAGGCCTGGAATTCTATGGATTTATATAATTCATCTGAGCTAGGGGGACCAACAAGAACTAGCCACTAGCAATTTATTTACAAATTATTACATCTGTGATAAAGAAATCACAGGTAAGAGAAAATCTCGGGCAATAATCTTACTTCTGATGCCTAGAAATCTCTTCTGTATTTCACATACTAATATGTTACATTTCAGCTCTCTAGTAATATTTAAATGCAGCATAACAACTTTTGATATGTAGATCACAGATCAATAAATATTTGTGTAAGCAGGCTTCTACTGAATTGAAAATGAAAGTTGGAGGTTTTGTTAGTCAAAGTTAAAAACTCAAATGAATGATGAAATCAATTTCCATGATAAACAACTTTAATAAATGTGGCATTAAATATCCAAGAAAGATCATCAGGAAAGACAATTAGACAATTTTATTTAAATAAATCTATGATAAGTGGTAAGAAAATTGTGGCTAAGCTAAATCCTTTTTGGAGGAAATGTATCAGCCTAACTAAATAATTCTCTTACAGTTTCATATACAAATGGAACTCACTTTCACTCGCTTTTGGGACTATGCCATTATATTAATTTTTATCTTTTGTAAAATAGGTATTTTTTTCATTTGCCTTAACAATGATAACAGTGCACCTCTACATTAAAAGTAACTATATCATTTTGTTTCTTTAGTATAAAGTAACACGTAAATTCAAAATTTTAAATTTTTAATATGAACAGAATTAGATTTTGAATGTCAAAATTATCTTAAATTCAACAAATGTTTCCATTTTCTTTCTCTGTAGTGCCCATTTGCAGTTCCTCTCCTTGTTAAACTGAATTCCTAGATGTTTCTATTTTGCCTTTAATATCATCTTTTTATTTTCACAATATCTAATAATGTTTTTAAAATGTAGACAAATATCATACCTCATAGTCAGTCCTGCACTTCATTGAAAAATAGCTCTAAAGCCTTAAACAAGGGTTTTATTTAGTGTTTTTAAAAAAGTGTCATAAGGAGTTAATAGGACACAGCTGTACTGGCTCTTTCTAATAAGCAGCTTCTGTCGCTTTGGTCACCACAGGTGTCTCTGTAACCTGCAAACTCTTATTACTAGTGTATCAAAGTTGTGGTACTTAACAGACTTCTTTAGTAAAACATAACAAAGCAATTACATGGCTGTTGATTGCCAGTCATAAAAAAGAATCCTCAAACACTGTTTTTCAAAAGGAACTACACTGCAATTTTTTGTCATTGTAAAATAAAAGGAACTAAGGAATTAAATGGAGGATAGAACAAAATAACAGCAGGTAGCCTGCTGAACTTAGCCACTACAGATGGTTTAGAAATAGTGTTTCCTTCTCCATCAAGTTGTGGATAAAAGGAAAGGAGGAGATTCCTTACTGCCAGTGAATGGCAAAAGATTTAGCCAAGTCTCCTGTCTATGTATTTTGCCTCATGAAAGACCTTCGATGCTGCATTTCTATCTGTTTTTGGCACTGCTTTCATCACCTTTAACTGAGTGTGAATAATAACCTGATTTAATTTAAACAAATACAGGTGCTAAAGGTTTTTATTTATGTATAACAGGGAACATTTCCAAGGCAGAACGAAGTCATCATAGGAAATTTCCTAACCATTTGCTTAAAGAAATGAAGTATTAGATGAAGAAATTGCTTCAACATTCTTTTGCCTCACATTTAGAGGAAAAATCAGCTTTCTATTTGGATTCAGACTGCATAAAACAAGGTCTGCATAATGATCAAAAATTCAATGAGCCATAGACAAATCAGATTTCTAATTGTTCTATAATTGCTTAAGTTATATAACTACAAAAGGATTCTTTGAAATGAATTAATTTAATCTCCCTGTTTATAAGCCAGTAGCCTGTGATTATGACTGTGTTAACACATTCAAAGTAACATCATGGGATGTTATGGCTACTTGTATAACTATATACAATGAAAATATATTTTAGATGGGAAACTCAAATAGGCAAAATATGAAAGAATAACTCACCACTCATAGATATTATGATTAATCAACTAAAAATTACACTGAAAGTATGAGATTTTTTTCCTATTGAGAATATGGATGCATTGCTGTGTGCAAAAGAATGTGTGCAATAAAGCGACTACATCAATTAGCATATGCTAGAGTTAAGCTATTACCACACCACTGGACTGATGCAAGATGTCTTGCCTTCTTCATTGATGTTATTTAAAAAAATAAGCTTACTACTAGGATTATATATTAATTTGCTTTGTCTTTTATGAACATCATAATAACAATGATTTTCAAAGAAAACCCCATACAACATATTAGAAATAAAGACTATCCCTTATTGCAAAAAAAGATGAACAAAGTGATGTATTTTTATTTTCAGGTGATTTTTGAGTTTAAGAAGAGTCTGTTTAAATTAAGGTATATTTTCACAATTGTAAATAACTGCATGTGCTAGCTTCTAACAAGTAGTTTTTATCTAACAAAATATAATAGAAGAGAATTTAATGCTGAAAATGAAAAATGTTTATGACAAGAAGCCAAACACAATGATGACTTTTTAACTTTGTAAACAAAAGTTCAACTTTTAACAAAAGTATTACCTTGCTCTGTTGGCATCCTTTGTCAGATCCCAAGCCCAGGTTATAAAATTTTGACTCAGATAAGAAACAATGGATTCAGCACAAAGCATTTGTGAGCAGAACACGTTGGTTAGTACACTTTCATCATGGTGGAGGTAGATAGCAAGAAGCTTTCTCTGAAAAGGTGAGAAAACATGGATCAATTAAAATATCCACTAATGTAAGATTTCTTGAATTTTGTAGAGGCATAATCAGTGTATATCAATAGCAAACACAGAAAAGTTAAACCCTATTCCCTAAGAATACTACATACTTGCAGTTCCTAAAGCATCTATTGGCAGGAATAAATCTTGCTTTTTTATATTCTAAAGGGGCTAGGATGGTTATATTTAACCTTATAGATAGATATCCCATCTCGTATTTCTGTTAACACCTATAGCCTATTTTGAACAGAAATAATAACAGAACTGCCTTTTCTTTAAAGTGGATTTACCATTTTTTACATTTAACTCAAGCTTTTGTGTTGTGAAAACATTAGCTCTGCACTCTTCAACTACACAGAGGAAAAAAAGACTAGATGGCCAAATTCCTTTTATACATATTTTATGTTTTTAATCAGATTGAATAGTCTATTCCATTTGAAAGGAAAAGTTACAAAATGAAGGTTTGTTCCACAGTAATTTCAAAGTCCATACATGTTCTCATATTAGTCCTTGTGAGCATATAATATTTAATTGCCTTTTGAAAAGATAGAATTATCAGTCCATGAGAATTCTTTATAGATTGTTTCAGAAAATGTCTAATCTGGTTTCTCACATGGAAAATTCATTTTTCCTTTTTCTCATGGTGAAATTTTGCCTTTAAGAAGAAGAGAACATCTGTTCTCTTTAAAACTCCTCTGTCATGCTTGGATATTCAATAAAATAACTGAAACAAAAAATAAAATTGAACATGCTAGTTTGCAATATTTTGGCTTTAATGACAATGATGAAAGTTTCTAAATTTTTGTTGACTAACTTCTTGTTGCTATGTTATAGAAGAGCTGAGTTTAAGAATGATCACAATTATCAGGAAAAGGAAAAAAAATTTATATTAAAATAACATACAAACCAATCTGAAGTTTTGTCAAAGAAAAATTTCAAGGAAGCTTTAAGATCTTTCCCTTCATGTTAAATAAAGATGTGATGATAGTAAATGAAAATTTACTATATGGGATTTTAAACGAAAAGACACTTATAGAGAAATATAAAGCTCACGCTAATGAAAGACTTTAAGCCTAATGTTTGGAACTATCCTGATCAAGAATTCAAATTATAATAATAGAAAAGTAACCATTAAATAGATGACTAGAGCTGGGGATTTAGCTCAGTGGCACAAGGGCCTGCCTGCCTGGCAAGTGCAAGGTCATGAATTGGACACCCAGTACCATAAATAAATAAATAAATAAAAGTAGAGAGGTAGATTTAGATATCAAAAGCATCTATTATAATAAGACATGTTCTTAATTATTTTTGCAACTATTATGTATATTAATCTCTGGAATAAGCCTGTCAAATAATACTCATTCCACTATGAGGAAACTGACTTGTCCTAAATTCTAGAGCTAATTTGTTAAAAGTACAACGGGGATTGAAACCTGGATTGTCTGAATCTAAGTCTAGTGTTCTTTCTCTGATATTACAGTGAAGGCAGGAAATCAACCACCCTGCATTCAAGACATGTGGAGCTTTCACACAACTTGAAGACACCAAACTGCAGACTGCTTAAAACATCAGTACTTCTGAACTTCAGAGACAGCACGCAATGGGAACAAGGACAGGACTCCTGTGTATAAATGGTTCATCTGATTCCACCCTGCTTCTGTGTGTTCATTCATTCATTCATTTATTCAACAAGCCATTTGTTGAAATACTCATTGTGTCAGACCCAGCAGGAAACACAGGCGATAAAATGGTGAACAAGAAAGCTCAGGGTTCCTTCATCTGTGTTGACGTCTGAAGATAACAGTAGCTGGGCTTCTAGGAAGTTAATAATCAGATACATTGTTGGAGAGATACTTATCTAGTAAATTCAATTTATCCTTTAAGGCTCAAAGCAAATGCCTCTCTGAAACCTTCCCCAATTCCCTCAGGTAGAGTTAAGAGCTTCCTTTCTAGGGTCTCCAGCTCTTCCTATTAGTATTATAATTATTTACCAGTTTCCCCTATACACTATATCTCTCAAGGGCCGGGACTGGGCCCTCATTCTGTTTTCTTTGCATTCTTATACTAGCATAGATTCCATCCAGCTTGTTTCATGAAAGAAATGTGAACGCTGATATTAACTAAAAGTTCCCCATCTCCCCAGGCAAAAATAGCAATGACAATGTTTTGAAAATCAGTTTTAGTAAATGAATCAAGAATCTGTGGCTTTAGGGAAAGGATGGTGAACCTTGCAGCACTAACAAATTCAGAGCTCTTCTTAGGAGCTCACTAGCTGAACAGACAGAGGGATGTCAGCCTCTAATTCTGCTTCATCGTATCTCAGCAACTACATTTAATGAGACACTGGGAACAAGAGAGCTGTCCACTTTTAAATCAGCATATTTCTAACCAAACAATAGCAATGGCTAAATCTTTAAAATGCCCATTTCTCTCAAGAACACTGCAATACAACATTTAGACTTTGAGAAAGAGATTAGTGATTTACATCACTATCTGACTGATTTCATTTAAATGCTCTTCCAAACCAAACACACATGTGCTGGAGAGACTACTAAGAAGCCCAACATGCAAAGTTCCCTATAAGTGCAGCCGACACTGTTGACTGAAACTAAACTTGGAAATCCAGGGCACTAATGCACTATATCAAGTAATAAAACAGCATCTCTTTGGCAATATTTAATTTTAAAAGAAGAAAGATGCAGGCGAAGATCAGGCACTGTCTGTTTTGGAGGATCAACCATTCTGCATTTCAAAGCATTGGTCCCTGCAATATCCAGGTTACTGTGCTAGAATCTGGACTATTATATCGCAGTTGTGAGAGGGAGGGCAAAGATGTGTTTACTCAGTGATTAGGCCCTTAGAAAAAGCCTCTAGCTCCTAGAGAGACAGCTCACCACTTATTCATTTGGGCCAATTCACAAAGCCCAGGAAGATTAAACATCCATGCTGAGAAGACAAGGGAATGCAGACTGTGAAAAAGAAATAAAAATTCTTTAAAAACTCTGAGATGACTTCATTATTTTTCCACAAGGAAACTTTAGGAAAGTGTTTAGTTAGAGAAAAACCCACATTGACCTCTCTCTAAACCCTTAATCTTTCCTTTGTGGTGGCACTGCTTTGTGGTAAGCGACTGGCTCGCCTTGCCCCTCTTTTCACTGGAAGCTGAGAGAAAAAAGCCTCTGGAGAAACAGTTTTCGTTCCAGGGACTCAAACCCCTGACACTGTTAAACATGAGATGCCAAGAAAACACACTTAAAAAAATTCCCACTTTACGCTCCAAACTGGAATGTGAAAGAGAAGGAAGATGATAAACAGAGTATCAGAAAATGTTTAGGCTAGGAATACTCCCACAGTAACCTTCAAAAAAGAAACCTAAAAGAATATGGTCTTTGTGCCATAATAAGATTTCAACAAGAATGTTTGATTCTATTATAATAAAGTAATCAAAATATACAGAGAATAATATGCAAATAGCACTAAATTGAGGCTATAAAAATCTGATTAAGTTACAGGCACAAGTAAATGAGCTCCACACTCAGATCTCTGACTGTCTTAGTGAGCTGAGTTAAGCACAGGCCAAAATAGTAAGAATTGAATTCAGCAAATCAATCAGATTGGGAGAGTTGAAACAGCAAAGTAATCATAAAACTGCTACTGTACAGAAAGAGCATGTAGTACATAGAAACAGCATCACAAAAATGTTTTGTTTTCTATCATTATAACCAGTTTTTCCTTTGATCCATTAACAATTTTAGTTCAATAACATTTACTGAGTGTCATGTGTCAGATATTGAGAATGCAAAGATGAATAAAAAGGTTTCTTTGCTCTTAAAGATTAGTGGGGTGAGTATGTGGGGAAGTAAACACGTCATTGTAGCACTGCATAACAAGTTATACTACTGGGACATTAAAATATTCTATTTTATTTGTCCTTTCTATTTTGGCAGAGAGAGTTATGTCCGGTAGACCACAAATGCAAGCAACCCAGCTTCATTATTCTCTATGATATAGGTGTTAGTAATACAGTGTAACTATGACAGAATAATCTCCAAGCTTTAAAGTGACCAGGGGGAACATGGTATGCAAGGACTACACACAAACTAGGTAACCTATTTACTATGTCAGGCCCACAGTAGGTATACTGAGTAACAGATAGCTGTTAGGATGAAGATTTAGAACTATCCATGGAAAATAAAGGGTTTTCACAGCAATTTCAAGATAAATGACAGCCATGAAAATGTATTAAAGAGTAAACAGCTCCTTCATCTCCTCTACTGGCAATAGTATTGGGATAGTCATTGTGCTTTCAGTGCCCTACTTTCTAATCTCTACATTCAAATCCAGAAGGTAAGGTACTAAACTGATGCTCAGGAAATGCTCAGTTGTGTGACTTGGTATTGAGTTATGGTATTTAAACACTCAGTATCACATAATCATAGAATATGCGAGCAGGCAGAAAGAAGCTGTACCTCACAATAAGCCAAGCAGAGTAGACAGGAAGTATTTGCTGTGTTTCTTTTTGAGCAGCAGAACATTCAACATTTTGTGTTCAATGATTTTAAAGTTGATTTGACAATTTCTTGGTAGTTTGCAATTTTTTTCAGTATAAGAAATACAGTATAAAATAATTTCATTAGTGCAATTTGGGGCCTGACTTTACTTCTCTCCTTCTCATTTGATCTTTTTTCTTCTCTGTATCATCACCATAATAATCAAAATTGTTAGTATCATTATTCTTTTGTTTTGGTTTTAAATTTGGTAATGGTATCTTGAAAACAACCTTAAGGCCCATACTTTTTCTTCTTCTTTTTTTTCCCTATTTATCTTTGAATAAAATGGATTTTTTTTTTTAAAAAAAAGGTAGAAAACTAAGTACACTTGGTGATGGTTTATCAAAACAACGGGTACACTGAAAAAAACCCCATAATTTTCTTTATCAAGATTTAGCAATTATTAACACTTTGTCACATCTA